ATTTGCCGAGTTGGTCTCACCCTATTAAAAATGGGAGAAGGTGCAAAGGCTTGAGGCAGATGGAACTAACCTTTTATGCCCTTTGAGGGCTTTGATTTAGCATAATAGTACAGAGGGATCTTGAAACCATTATGTTTGGTGATTCTTGTGTCAATATCATAGGTGCTTGGTGGGTTGGTTTGACCTGAGTGCTAGCTTTCTATAAAACTCAGATTTTCAGTCTAAACATCACTTCGAGTTACTGTTACTACAGAATTTTAATGGATAAAGGGAGGAACTACAGTTTATTGTTTTTTCTTGTTCTTTGTACCAGGTGTTTACATGCTCTGGATCCATCTGGCCTTTTAAAGTTGAGACTATTAGATATTAAAGAATTCCTTAACCAGACTACAATAGCTCTCAACCCAGTTGGGCTGGAGCTGTTCCAGATTTTTGCTCTCTCCAAAAGTGCAGATATCTTGTTTCTGCATTGCAAGGCTGTCTTCAGCTGGCTGTGACTCAGATACAAGTCTTCCAGATGTTGGTGCAGGATACTGTGATGAGACTGCCTTTCTGTCTTCCAATGTTTAATTACAGAAAATGAAAGGAGGATAGTATCTTGTTTTGGCAACATATCATGTGCTGTGATTCCTAATTTTATTACAACTTACTCTCTAGAACATGAAAGAAATTGACTGTAAAAAGCAAAGGTGTTTCTCTTCTGCTAGCAAAGTTGAAACCAGATGTGAAAAAAAGTTGATGGCAAGAATAAATAGATTTGACTAGCTAAAAACATGGGTTAAATGACTTATAATGGTGGGTCAGAATGAGAAGGGTTAATTCTTGTATAATTTCTTTTCTATTTCCTTGTTATTTTTGCGTGGACACCATTCATCAACATTCAGAAGCCCTCAATTTACTGTTTACAAAGTGTTTTTAGCAACAGTGGAAAGAGCCAAAAAGGAATAATATGAACCCTTTTCCTCTTCAGGAAGGGAAAGGGAGGAAAGTGTGACTGTTACTTCACTTGTGATGCAGTGCAACATTTCTTAAAATCTTAGGGATCTGTTTACTTAGGTACCTTAAATATGTAGAGTGAAGAATGAAATTCATGTTAAATGGAATGCAGTAAAGTCACTGTCAGATGAACTGACAGTCTTCGTGTGTATGCACGTGAATGCTGCATATGTTTAAAATGTTACATATAAATAACTAAGTAGAGGTGGTAGTCATATGAAAAGCTATCATATCCGTCTGTTACTTTGTGGAGAACAGACCAGATGTGGTCTAGTACCAAAGTTAGTGCCCAGTTTTAAATATGGAGTTCAGCCTGCCAGGCAGAACAAGTTTTCTCAGCACTTGGAAAGGAGTTTTACTGGTGCCTTGACATTTCTCTTACATTCCCCAAACCCAAGAAACAGACAGCCTCCCTCCTCTTGTTGTGGCAGGTTATAGTTAAGAAAAGATTTGTCCTGGTTTATTCATGCTTGCAGTTTTGGCTCAAGTAAACTCAGGAAGGATTCATCTGCAGAAGCATTCTGCAATTGCTTAGCACCTCTAAAAGTCAGTCTTGCAGTAGACTATGTGCTAGACGGTGCAGTGAGCTCTGCACAGCTCAGTTTGATCTACAGACTGAACCCCACAGAAATCAGAGGTCATCCTGGTGCATTCAGATTCTAAGTGCAGGCTTATAGGTAGAGAGATACAAGAAGTATTCTCCAATACTATTCCCCAATGGTTTTGTCCAGCAGGTACCAACTACCTCATGGATGGCAGAAAGTTTTTATCAGTAATTGTTGTATTTACCTGGCTTTCTTGTTCATTGGTATCCTTCTCCCAACCCCTCTGCTGATGAATCCTTTAAAAATTATAATGTTGTTTGTAATGTGTATGTGTTTATGTAAATATACACACAGAAAAAAAAACAAACTGAAAGCCTTAATGGTAGACAAAGAAAAATGAATGCAGCGTGTTGTATTTAAAGGCAGTACTATCTGTGAGAAAAACATGGCCATGGGGGAAAGGAACCTGGAAAACTGCTGAAGAGCTATGGTGGTTGCAGTTCAGAAGGGAGGGCAAAGGTATGAATGTTCTCAGCCAGTGAGCAAAAGTCTTCTCTTTCTGCATTTCAGATGGTATTTTTTTGTATCTGGGAGTCAATCTCCCAAGCAATGCATTAGGTGCAGCTTTCTCACTTCCTTTATGCTATTGTAGTAGGCAACCTAATGTTCAAATGAGACTTGGGAATCCTGATGTGTGTTTGTGCCTCTTTGACACCATCACTGTCATTTACAGATCCTGAAAAGGAAGGTTGATCTTTAGATTTTTGAATCCTATCTGTAACCTTTAATGGTGTGTTGTAACCATTCCTCTCTAAGGTACTTCCTAGCTTAATTCAGTACAGAAAGGGTAAATGAAAACTAGTATTCTGAGATTATTGCTTGCTGAATACACTGGATCTGTGATGCTTGGCTGGTCTGCAGAAACAATCCTTACAAATTGAAAGCTGATTGAAATGTAAAGCTAGCATGTAGTTTTGCTTTTATACTGGTACAAGGATTTACCCCTACTCCTACAAAAACAGCGCAGAGAAGAAATTGTCTTGGTTAATTTGCACAACAAAATGAAGATGTGGTAGTGGCACGGTTGGTGTACCAGTGCTAACTTTAATCCAAGTAGCACAGGTAACATGCTTAGAGGAATTGATAGCGTAGGCAAGCAACACCATATGTATGCAAGGTTACTGGCCTGTCATATACCATATGTTAGCTCGTAATGAAGTCTCTGCTTGCTTGCTTTCTGCTGCTGTTGTGGTTACCTGCCTTAGCTATGTAAATGCTATTACAGGTGTGTCCGCCATGGGATCTTGCACTTCCATTTTGCTGTGTATGTGAACCTCTGAAGTCCCAGGATCTTTAACACCTCAAACTGAACATACAAGAACTGGATGAAAGTAAAAAGCAAATGCTTGCTTATCTTGATGGTTTTTACTGGTGTAAAGCTTCCGTGAGTGATGCTGCACAGAAGGGGGTATTGACTTTTAAACAATCAGCCACATCAGGTTTCTTGGAGTCTCTGCAGTTTCCTTCTTTATACTGAATCAGAGGGGCTCTGCATGCCACCAAGTAGAGCTGCACTGGATGTACTAGTATGACTCTAAGTGGGACCAAGCTGAGATGGGATTAAGGTTCACCGAATTGTCATTGATGAATTGGCATCCATTAGTCTTGGGGACTTGCTTAGAAAGCATACAGTCAGAGCAGCCCTGTGGGGGATGTCCTCTCCAGCCGTTTCTGCGGTACCTCCGGCTGTGGAAGGAGGGGAGGGAGGAGTTGGTGGTTTGAGTGTTAACAGTATGGTAATAGACCAGATGAGAGTTTGGGATTTGTACTACAGCAACTGGGTTTTGTGAGACCAGTGCAATTCTGTTCTCTTTTTAAATCTTGCACAGAAAATAAGAATCGTCTTATTTAAATACAGTGTAAAGTATTGTCATAATAAGACATTGCTAATTACTTGCTTTTGGGTATAGTTCTATGATACCGTCTGTTATAAATGCTGGGTGTTTACATGAACAAGAAATAAATTTATATTGTCTCTGCTCCAAAGAACTAAAATTCAGCATATCTAAGTATTTAAATTATTGCATTATTCTATCGCATGGCTGCCTGCATCACGGAAATAAAGGAACTACAGCAACGTAGCCAACAAACCTTTAATAAAAGCATTTGCTTGAACAGCACCATGTTGGATATAGTCCATCAGAATAAAAGCAGTTTGGGACTGTAGTGTCTTGTTAAACACATTGTAAATGTTTTTGGCAAGAAGCCTGGATGAATCCAACCACCTCTGGACAGCCAGCATGTCAGAGCATTTCCGAGTGAGATGTATCATCCTGTCCTGAACCGATAGCTTTGGATAATCCTCTAATCCAAGTGATTGCTTCGACGTTGCAGCCTATTTAGTTTTGCTCAGTCTAGGATGACTTGCTGCTGGAGAGCTCAGGGTGAATTTTTAAAAAAAAAAAAAAAAAAAAAAAAGACTGCAGCTGAATAAATGAATTTAACTCCAGCTGTCTAGGGTCCAGGTTGGTCTTACGGATGTCGCATCCTAACAGAGTATTGGTCTGTTAGAGACAGCTCCTGAGCTCTGTTGTTCCTCTGGCTTCTGGGATTTTTGCTGAGGCTGTCAAAGAGAAGGTGACTTGAAGAAAGGCAGCTTGGTGTTGGTTTTGCTCTGAGGACACTGAAGCTTTTGCTTGTCCCTGTGTCTGATAGGAGTAGCCGCTAGTCATGGACTGCTTGCCCTCTGCATATACCTGTCTTGTGCTCCCACTGCCATTGCTACCTCCTTACAACAGAGCCAGATCACTTCCCATGCTCTATAGAGACACACAGTAGCCAAAGAACAATTGAGAAGCATTTTCCTTTAGCTGTCTGCATGATGGTAGAGCACAGTTGTTTTCTTTGCGCTCTCGAGCTGCAAAAAAGTGGTAAGTTGAAAGGCCTCCTTGGAGGATGCTGCAGAGTGGAGCATTTCGGCTAAGAAGGCTGTCCAGTTATTGCTTGTGAAACGGCGTCACATCAGGATTGTTGATCTTGCCCATGTTTTGGGGTTTGTGGAGGAAGTCAGGCACCAGGACGATGCTTCAGAGTCCCAGTCTGCTTCCTGGCCTCTGCCTCCCACCAGGAGGACGGAGAGGGGGGTGACGTCCCCTGCATGTGGGGTGGGCTGGCGTGCCAGCTGCCCAGAGCCCGCCTGTACCTCGGGGAGCTGGAGCCTGCTTGTCTGAGTTTTTGGGTGGCTACATGCTTGTTTAATCCCTTCTGTCGTTGGCCAAGGAAAGTTACCGCTTGGGCTCACAAGTGAGAATGCTAAGAAAACAAAAGATTCATTGCTCTCACTTTTTTCCTCCCTTTTCCTGGCTCCACTCTTTGTTGTTCTGAGAATGGAGAAACTTTTTCCCCCTCACTCCCCCCCCAAGAATCACAACCACTTTTTGTTTTGTTTGTCTTTTACAGATCAATTTTGTAGCCTGTCAACTGTTTGCACTTTTGGCTGCGTTTTGGTTTCGTATTTACTTGGGTCCCAGTCATGCCAGCTCTGCTGTTCGCCATGCATTTGCCACCCTCTTTGGAATATACTTTGCTGTCTTCTGCTTTGGGTGGTGAGTATTTAGTCACCATGTAGACAAGGCTTGGGTAAAAATATTTTTAAAATTCATATCAGCTTTTCTGAATTACATCTTTTTAGTCTTAAGGCACATTCTGTGTTATCCTAACTCCCCCCCCCCCCCCCACAACAACACCA